TAAAGAGTTACATATGAAGGTAAATAAACTAGAAAAAATAAATGCCAATTTGGAGGCATAATTAGTTACACTGGAACATATAAATAAAATATTTTTCGACAAATCAAATCAGCAAAAAAAGTATATTGAATATCTAAAAAAGGAAAATAAACAATCAAAACTGCTTGAATCGGAATTAGAGCCAATAGTAGTTGTAGAAACTACAAAAATGATGTTCAAACCTTAAAATCAACCTGAATATATAATTTCAGATTCCAAAAATATGCTGAATATATTAAAGAGTTGAAGAATTAAGCCCAAAGAAAAGGGTAAAAATGTTGAAAAGGGTAAAGATATTGAAAAGGGCAAAGTAATAAAAACAGTCAAACCTGCAGAAATGGTTTTTAAAGATAAAAAAGAAAAGGAAGCAAGGGTTGAAATGAAGGTTCTAATAAAAACTATTTCTAAAGAACTTCAACTAAGAGTAGACAAAGTTTATTTAAGTGATGCAAATAAAAAAATATTAAGCAAGTTAATACTCGAATTATTAAAATTAATGGTTTTACATTTTAATTCATTACAAAAATAGCTAAATGATTGGTTAGATGCTTTATATTATTATCAAAGAGAAAGATATCGAAAGGTACAAACAGAAAAACTAGATACAGACAATTGTCGCTTATATGCAAATAGCCAATTAAATGAAGTAAAATTATTGATATTTATATTATATAACTTGTATTAATTTTTATCGAATAATAAAAAAAAAAACACAAAGAATCAAAAGTGCACAATCACTTATTGACAAAAAGTCCAAGAGTATTGCAAGATATTGGAAGGAATTGATCAATATAATTAAAGAACCAAGAGTCCATTTGGCTAAAGAAAGTGAAACTAATCTAAAAAACAATAATAAGAGAAGAATAAACATATATGATTATAGTTGGCATTCTGATAAGGTATTTTTTAATAAATGATTTTATACCAAATAATTAATTTATTACTAATTATTTTATAGTTAAAAGATTTATTAGAAAATTTGGACAAATATTCAAAGTTGATTCAACCATTTCAAACAACTTGTAAATGAAACTATAGTAAATCTTATTGTTACAATGTAATCCTGCCAAAGAATATGCCAAGTTGGGCTTGTAAATTAGAGAATGAAGAGTAAGAAATAGAACAAAGTAAAAAAGATAAATAATTAGCAAAAAAATATAAAAGACGAATGATATCTGATTATGAGGAATCACTTATATATTCAGAGGAAGAGAAGCATCAAACTGGAGAAAGTATACAAATGTGTGAAATTCAGAAAACAATATTAAAGAAGAAAAGTAAAAAAAAATTACGAGAAGTACAAGAAATACAAAAACCATAAAAAGGTATTCCAAAGCAAAAGAAACTTGGCATTATAAAATCTTCGAGAGTTATAAGGGCCATGGCAAAATCAGCAAAAGAAAAAGACAAAAATTATAAGCAAGAAGATTCAGATGAAGAAATGGAGGAATTTAGTGAATAATATGTGAATAATTATCAAATAATTAATTAGTAAAGAATTAGCAAATAATTAATAAATAATTAGCAAATAATTATTTCAAATTTTATATTTTTTACATTTTTAATAAATTTATTAAATATTAATTAAATTTTGCTGAATATTATTATAAATACAATTTTTTTTATTGAAAATATACAATTTAATTTTACTAAAGTATATAATGCTAAATAATTTTGTCAAATATTATAATTTTTATTACAGAATATTGTAATTTTATTGCTAAATATTTTTTAACTAGAAATATTTTATTGTCAAATGATTTTATTACCAAATGATATATATTTTTTTTTGCCAAATTATTGGGTTTTTTTAAGTATTGAATGGCATAAATTGGATCAAACTTCAATATAAACTTTTATTAATAAATTTGAATTTAATTGGTTGTAATTCAGCAGCTAAATAATCCAATTTGAACTAGTAATATGTAGAACATATGACATATACAGGTGATATTTAGTATATGACATATAACATATTGTTATAGTGAAAACATGGCAAGTCAGTCGCTTTAATCTGACTCATGTCGTGTCACGTTTGGGCGGGTTCTTGCTTCTCAAAAGAGGCATGTGAATTTGGTCAGAGTCTAGTAACGCCAACGCAGATCAGTCTATCGGTCTGCGTTCTATCAAGTTACTTCGCATGCAGTAGTTCCTTTTACTGCACTACACTGGGAATATTCTCACCAAACCAAACTTTATCAAGAAAGACAATCTTTATTACGCGAGTAGAACTTGTTACAAGATCTGATCTTCCTCTTTCTATTTATATACATTTTATATATTATATATATTATATTTAATATACTTACCATTATACTTACCCTTACAATTTCCTATAATTTATCCATTACTTTTTCCCCGTAACAATATGATGCCCAATTCTAAAAGATATTTGATACAAATATTAATAGTTCTATTTTGATTCACTTTTAGTTTTTTTAATTATTAGTAAGAGATTTTGAAGGTATTAGAATAATTAAAATAAAACACTAGTTTATTATTTCATTGTTTTACTTTATATTACATATATATAATCTTCAAAAGACCAATAAGATTATATGTACTATTTTGAATTATATTTCTATTTTATTTATTTATATTAGAAAAACATATATATAAGAAAGCATTTTTTTTTTTTGGAAAATAATAAAGTTGTTTGATTTTTCTCATATTTAATAAAGCTTTCTATTATTAATTATAAACAATACCTTGTTTATAACTTTTTTAATATGAAATATTATATTTGGTAATAGCAAATACTTCTTTTATTTCACTTTTAAAATTTTTTCTTGTTTTTTTTCTTAAGGAAAATACTTCTTGTCACTTTTCTTGAATAATTTTCTTTTGTTTTTATTACTCTTTTCTTTTTCAAGTTTTACAAAAGTTCACTTAAGATTATATAAGATTAGTAAAGATATATGAAAGTTATGCAAAACAAACCTAGGATTATTATAAAAATTATCGTAAGGGCTATGCAAAGAGATTGTTAAGATACATCAAAGATTATACAATAGATCAAAGGAAAGGTTATGTTTTAAGGATTTATTAAGTATCACAAAAAAAAAGAATTTACAAGATTATATAAAGTTTTACATACAAAAATAAAAGTTTCTCAAGATTTTCTTTAAAAAATACTTATTAAAAATTCACTAAAAATCTATAAAGGTTCTACAAATACAGTGCAAAGGTCTTATAAAGATTATGCACAAGATCTATATTAGGATTGCTATTCACAAGAATAAAATATTATTATTTGCTTAAGGAATTTCATAAAACTATTATATAATTGTCAACAACCTTACATATGTTGATTAAGGGCTAATCAATCCTGTAACATCTAGGTTTCATCTATCTGTAGGATGATATTTGAAGCTAGAGTATTTTATAAAATTATTAGTGATTAATATTATTTTATAATTGATTGTTTTATATACAGTATATTGATATTATACTTATTTTTTATATATAAGTATATTCAATTGTATAAAGAATTTTGTAATTTGAAAATTCTGAAATACAATATTAGTGTAATAACAAGGGCTTATTAAGCATTACCATATTGTTATATTATTATTAACCTATAAAGCATTACAGTAATTTAATACAATATTAATACAAGACAATATAAAACATAACAGCTTTATTTATTTTCTAATACTTCTATATTTGAAAAAAAACTTTCATCCTCAGATATAGAATTAGAAAAATTGCTATCAGAAATATGTTATTTAAAATTATTAGTATTTTGTTCAAGATCTATATTAGAATTTATGAAAATTCGGGTTTTATTTAATACTTACTTGAAAGAACTCTCTTTAATATTTACTATTAAAGAAATCAATTACTTGCTAGAAACTTCTTTAAATCCTTTCTTTATCTCTACTTTTAACTTGTCCACATGGTTATACAAGAGATTATTTATTATTTCAAGGCTTCTTTTTGAATTAATCTACAATAAAGTTTATTGGCATTTACTTTTAGGAAGGTTTTGATCCTTTGTATATATTTGATTATTACTTTTGATTTTTTACCTTGACAGTAAACAAAATTCTCTTGTATTCTTTATATTGGGCATGCAGTTTGAAAATCTTATCTTGAAGTTCTATTAATTGTTTCAGCAATTTTACCAAGGGTTCTGGATGTTCAGAATAGTTATAGGCAATGAACTAATAAAGAATTTTTATTTGTTCTTGAAGAATAATGATGTACCAATTATAACATTAGAGTATTAAATAGCACAGATTATTTTATTGGTATGAGACATTTTTTTTTAAAGTTCTTGATAATAATTGTAATAAATTGAAAAAATTTTTCATTAGGATATTATACAATAAATACAAAAATTTTTGGAATTTTTGTGTCAATTAGTAATTTTTAAAATAATTGAAAAAGATTATAACACATAGTTACAACAATACAATACATAACAATAATAATACCACATGGTAATAATAATAACAATATATAACAACAACAATAAACAATAATAATACATAGTAACAATAATTGAAGCATGCACAATACATGGCAATAATAAAAAACAGAAATATGAATTAATAATACAACTTGCTAAATTGGAATCAACTATAACCTACAGAACTTGATAATCAAATTTGTAACAACAGGATAATGCAACACATATGAAAATTTGATTGACAAGAAGAAACCAATCAATGACACTTTCACTAATGAATTGTTCCATAGGTATTTGAAGGCTTAGGATGAAATATGAAAGATTATATCACATAACACGACCGTACAATGCATCAGATTGAAGGTAAATGGCACATTATATCATATGATAGCGAAACATAGCATGAAGCGAAGGATACTACTGTAATGCAAAGATACCATCGTAGCATAAGGACACTACCATACTACTGAAACGCCACCATATGCTCTGGATGCCGAAGTACCACCAGAATGACACCAGATATACCCGATGCTGCCATAATATAAGGTCACTGCTGCACCATCAGAATGCCCAATAACACCGGAACGCCGTAATATACTCCGGACATCACCATAGTATGAGAATTCCACGACATAACCAGAATATTGCAAGATACCCTGGATACTGCCGGAACAAGAGGCCACTGCAGAATCGCCGGGATGCCAGCACAAGTGCCGGATGTTGCCGCAACACTGCCGGGACACCGTCGTAACACGAAGTTACCGCTATAAGCGCTGGATGCTGCCGCAATATACGATTGCAGTAGTATCGATGAGATGCCTCCACAAAAGGAAGTTGCCACTTGAAGTGCCGGATGTTGCCATGATATATAATCGCCGCCGCATTGACGGGACGTCGCCACAGCACGAAGTTGTCGCTACATGCACCCAGTGCCGCTGTAACACGAGATCACCGCTGCACTGATGGGACGCCACTGTATGTGCCGGATGCCGCCACAATGAGATATTGCTACTAGAATATCTGAAGACTTGAACGCCACCACATAGTATGTGCCACACTGAAAGATACTACATGGACGCCACCTCATAGTAACGTACAACATGATGTGATGACGCCGCAACATGGGACGCCATCGTATAACATGTTAGATTGAATGCCACGACGTGATACACTGCCGCATAACATGTCGCAAAACAAGACGCTGCCGTACATGACGCTACAGTATTATATATCACCGTACAGCACTGTACAACAGTTCGTATCGACGCCACAATAAAAGACGTCGCCGTTTCCATCATACTACTAGCCACCGCAACGTTAACCATCAACCACAGCATGCCGCCGCCATTGTTAATGCATAAAACGCCACCATAATCACCGCCACCACTAATCATAGTGCACTGCAACAATTTCTGCCACCATCATTAGCCACAGTGCGCCGTCGCAACTTCCGCTGCATGATATGCCATTACAACTGCCGCTATATGCCACATGGAAATGCCATTTACGTAGATCGTGCTGCAACGTTACACGATATGATACTATCAAAATGTGAAGCAAAACGTCACCAAGACCAAAGGAACACTGCGAAACGTAACACGGATGACGCCACAGTAAGCTACAAGCCTTCTAATTTAACGTCACTAGCCATAGTATATAACGCCATACTAGCTACACTCTTTTTATAAGCTGCATCTCCACCTAATTATATTAAAATGGCCAAAAAAATTTTTGAGGTCATTGAGGACAATGACTTCTTAAAGAGGGAAGAATGTAACAATACTATTGGCAAAGTGAGTGACACAAGATATGTTACACAAGTGGTACAAACAAGCCAATAGAAGGAGCAACACTTTAGGAATATAATGATTTAAACTATATCTTTTTAAAACATCTGGAATTTGAAATATTTTGAGTTAATAATTCTTTATTATACTTAGAATATGGGACATATAAATGTGATGTTTAGTATATGGCACATGACAGTGACATCCAATTCCAAAAGGTATTTAATATTATAATAGTATGAGTTTACAAATATCAATAGTTCTATTTTATTTTATTTTTAGTTTTTTTAATTACTAGTAAAGGATTTTAAAAATATTAGAATAATTAGAATAAATCACTAATTTATTATTTCATTTTTTTTTTTTTTTTTTTGATAAACATCGGTTCTTTATTATATGTATATACTAGGATATAACTTTGAAAAAGAACCTACATCTCTCATAGTATATGAGTTAAATGCTAATTTACCAAAATATCTATCTAAACTATATTAGAAAAGAAAATTTAAAACTAATATACTGTTTAGATAGTTGCACGACAAACCATGCAATTTTAGTGAAAAATGAAAAAAGAAATAAGGAAAAAAAGAAATTAGACACGTGTTAATATTAAGTAAACAACTTTTCACATCACAACTTTGGCTCATGCAGCTATGGGAACAAAGGGGGCTGATATGGATATATACTTCCTAGTAAATGCTCTGAAACTGTAATCTTTGATTGACACAGATTATCAAATCTAGAGGCTTCAAAGGCCAAGTGGGACGCGACTCCAAAATCTTCTAGTAGACACTCCAAAGAATTCGGTTGGCTTAAGCTGCCAAATCTAGAGGCAAAAACTGCCAAGCAGAACGCAACTCCTATATACTCGGTAAGCTGTTAGCACTGTCATGTTTAACACACATACGTTAGTGTCCACATCATTGTTCTCTTCAAGGTTATCTATTTGGTATTAACATGTGATAGGCTGTTGGTAATGGTATTGTTGTTGTTGTTATTGTTAATGTCATTGTGGTGATCAATGGTGCGATTTTGGTGAGTTGTGATTGGTTGGAATATAGTGTTGATCTTTTGATAGGGGTAAGCTGATTTCGGTTTTTGTTGTAAAAAAAAAGGAACCAAGGTACTTCTGTATATATGAGCGAAAAAGATATCAAACCAAAGGCCTTTCTCTATGCAACCTTCATCCACAAAATACCCAGTCTTGAGGAATTTGACCAAGAGTCCTATCCTTATGCAGCTTGAGTCTTTACAACCAAACTCTTAAAATTGGCTCATATATAACAGGTCTTTAGAATATGTAAGACTTGTTGTATTGGTATTAGCAGAGGTAACTCTTTGTCTTGAAGAAGCAGAGCTAGTCTTTTATCCAATAAATCCGGGATTTGACCTTCTGCCCATAACACCCGGCTCTACTTAGCCTAAATCTCTTAGACTATCGCGAAAGGGAACAACCAGTCGGCTTCTTTAGAAGAGAATTTTTATTCTTGATAGTGGTAAAAGAAGGGAAAAAGTTTCTTTTTAGAGGAAAGAATAACTTGACAAGGCCTCAAACTTGTCTCGTTAAAGTTTCCTAAAAAGAGAAGTTTTTCAAAAATTTGAGGGAAACAGGAAAGAGTTTTTTTTTTTTAATTTATTATTTCATTGTTTCACTTTATATTATATGTATATAATCTTTAGAGGATCAATAAGATTATATGTACTATTTTAGAATTGTATTTCTATTTTATTTATTTATATTATAAAAAT